TCACTTCTGAATTAGGGGTTACCAATGAGATAAATGCAGCTTATAAAGAATGGGTTAAGATTGATATGGCGTTGTTAAGCTTGTTACTTGCTACACTCAATGATGATGCTATAGAACATGTGGTAGGCTGTAAGACCTCTCATGAGGCATGGACTGCTTTACAGGATAGATATATGGTTGTGTCTAAAGCTAGTGTCAATCATCTCAAAGCGGAATTACATACTATGCAGAAAGGTGGGGAAACTATTGATAAATATTTGTTGAGGTTAAAGGCTATTAAAGATCAATTACAGGCTTCTGGAGAAAAAGTGTCAGACAATGATCTCATCATTGCTGCACTAACTGGCTTACCTTCTGATTACGATATGATTCGGACTGTTATTTTAGCTAGAGAATCACCGATTACACTGAAAGAGTTTCGGGCTCAATTAATTGGTGCAGAGAAGACCATTGAAACTAGAATGCAGTCTTTGATTCAGAGTATGTCTGCCATGTATGTTAATGCTAATGCTTCTAATGATCATACTAGGAGTTCTTCATCTAATGATCAGTTCCCTGCCTCTTCAGCTTCATCAGGCAGTTCTTCTAATGCATCGTTTTCTCCGACTGTTGGTTCTGGTTTTTCTGGAAGTTCATCATTTATTACTGGTTATCATGGTAATCAATTTCAGCCCAACGACTACTTAGGAAATAATATGACTGGCAGATCATTCAATGGAAACAATTATAGACCAAAGGGCAATGGAGGATATAAGCAGAAATTTAATAGGTCACGATCTGGAAATAATTGGCAGCAGTGGTTAGGAAATACATCCAATCGGTTTGAGCCTATTCCTGAGTGTCAAATCTGCTCGAGAAAGGGTCATGTAGCAGTTACATGTCTTTTTAGGAAAGATAATAGTTCAACTGTACAAGAATGTCAAATATGTGGCAAACGGGGTCATATTGCCTTGAACTGTAGGCATCGGAACAACTATGCCTATCAAGGAGCTCAGCCATCTCCTTCCTTATCTGCCAATTTTGCATATCAAGGTTTTCCTATGTCCTCTCATGCTATTGATATGGGAATGATCACTACTCCATCACAGTTTGTCAACAATAACCAATCCTCTCAGTTTGTGAATGTTAATCAGCCTCCTTCATTCATTTCTCAACATGTGCCATCTTCTTTTAATGGTTTTCCAGCTATGAATGCTCAAGCTTCTGCAGCCATTTCAAATGGAGAATCGTGGATTCTTGATACTGGTGCCTCTTATCACATGACCCTAGATTTAACAGTTCTTGCTCACTCTACACCATATGAAGGCACTGAGAAGATAATAGTTGGTAATGGTGAAGGTTTGGATGTACAAAATATTGGTCATGGCACTCTGCAAACTCCATCTCATATTTTGTCTCTTAAGAGTGTTTTACATGTGCCGATGCTAACTGTTAATCTTTTGTCTGTTAAGAAACTATGTAAAGACAATCACAGTTGGTTCATATGTGATGACATTCAATTTTTCGTGCAGGACAAGGCAACATGGGTAATCCTCCACCACAGAAAGAGTAGTAATAATGAGTTGTTCAGAGTACCTGTGCATATTTTTCCAACACTGTTGAATAAAGGTGCAATTCCTTATGCTTATTTGGGACATACAGTGCAATCTTCTTTGTGGCATTAGAGATGTGGACACCCTTCAAATGCAATCTTATCAGCTATGCTTAGAAATTCAAATATAGCTTGTTCTTCTGATGACATTAGTAAAGTTTGTTCACATTGTCTTGAGGGAAAAATGAGTAGACTTAAAATGTTACAATCTGATGGTGGTGGAGAGTTTCTCAACAATGCATTTAAGGAATATTTGGCTACACATGGTATTTTACATCATATTTCATGTCCATACACACCCCAGCAGAATGGTCTAGCTGAGAGGAAGCATAGACACCTAATTGAGACAGCAATTACATTGTTATCTGATAGGATTTTTACTATTCATGTGAACGAGATAAAAACACCTATTATACTTGCAAGAATCACAAGGTTGTTGTAGTATAAACGGATCTCGCAAGGTCGTTCTCCACTTGGATTATTAAATAATTCGAAACTAACCAAACTTCAATTAATTATTGTAAAATAGAAATTGAGGTGATTGATTTTATATCCTAATTAAAATAAAAACAAAATTAATGAATTAAAGTAAACAATCTGTAATATTAGAACTAGAGAGAAAAGAACAATTTTGAGAGAATCAAATTAAGAAAATACTAGGGTTCCACCATCACCTAGCAATCCTATGAACTTTTACCAATTACTTATGATCTACACATGCCACTTTGAAGGTTAGATTTTCCTAATTCATATTCTACTTGGAACCTCCAACATAGAATGTATATCTAACATGCAACCCGTCCGGACGTTCGGATCAAATCTGAACATGAAAGACTCATTATGCTTTATGAAAATCCCTTGAAAAACCATGCAATCCTTAAGACGTGATATTCATCCTAAGTGAAATTACAATTATTAATCACAAGAAGCCAGCGTCAATTTCAGGGAACCTTCTGACCAAAATTGCATCAAATTACTTTTCTAAAAATCCTAATGGTGATCAGGCATTAAAACAATTAGATAGTTTTTATCCCGGTGATTAACAATTCAAAGTACGCATGCAATCAATCATAAGCAATTAAATAAAAATCACATATTCATGCTAAGGCTTAAGGTTTCGCCCTAGCAAAAAAATTAGTTCCGCATATTCATAATTGAAGTCATAGAAAATATCTTCAAGAAAAGGATTGAAAGCACCTTCAAGTAAAAAGTCTCCAAAACCCTAACAATTCTCTCTGTCTCCAAAATTGCATAAAGAAAAGCGTCCCTAAAACTGTAGACGGCTAAGCAATATATTTGCCAAGCGACCTCCCAAACCCTAGGAAACATAACCTTAAATTAAATGATAAAATTCGTCTAAAATCTGAACAGCCACGTTTTGACCCATAAGCTGCTCCAAAACTGGCCCAATATAGTTGGATTTAATGTTTGGAATATTCTGAACACTTTTCCAAAAGGCCACGAATCCATCTGAGGTCATCTTGGGCTCCAAAAACGCAATTTAAGCCCAAAAACGTCATTTTCCAGCACTGCGCACTGCTTCTTTATTTCATCGTCAGAAAATAACCACTTGGTGGAAAAATCCCAATTTTTGATGCGATCAAGCTAAGTGACTCACGAACGTCCTCCAACTGGAATTACTCCAAAATTCATCCATTTGATCCTGCTTTGCTCCAGAGGATGTCGAAAGTCCTATATTGAAAATACAATTCAAAGTATCAAAATTCTTCCAATATATTAACCAAAATATACTAAGATTAGGGTAAAATACATAATATAAAATCTACTCATCAAATACCCCCAAACTTAGCTTTTTGCTTGTCCTCAAGCAAAAAAAGACTCAAACAAAAATAAAAACTTAACAAACTAGACAACTAGTTAAAATTAACTGACAAAAATTTTCACCTTCAAAGTTGCAATCCATAGCAAATTTTAAAAACTAGAACATTTTTCCAAAAGTTCCAACCAATCCCACCACAGAGTCTAAGCCATTTAGAATCAATTAGAAAAGAATTCACAAACTTCCTTTGTGTAAAGTGAACCACATAGTTAAGGAGACTCCACTAAAACCCTTACCTCTCGTCACTCTTTATTTCACTTACTAACTTTAAATATAACTATTTTTAATTTTTTTTCTTTTCAAATTTTTATTTTTTATTTTTTAATTGTAATAGTAGTGGTCGTGCAATGTCGGTTTACTTAAGCTTTCGATCCAACCCATGTAGTGAGCTTTAGGTCAATAACTCCCAAACCACTAGGGCTTTAAGGCACTAGGTATATAACACCCCTAAGGACTTATTAACCCGAGCTGAAAAGGCTACGAAACCAACTAACCACCCTGCCCCATGCCAAAACTTTACCGTTTGACGCAAGAATCACTGCTGATTAGGCAAGACTGGCCCGGTTACTAGGCAAAACCTCGGGTGAGACAATTATTACTTTATTCACAATAATAACTGACTTTACTTAAAACAAAAATTAAAAATAACTTAAACTAAAAGCAAGTGTTTCAATCTCACTCCCCACAAACCATGTTGGTGTGATGTGCAAAGTTCAAAGTATAATTCATGAATTAGTGTCTAAGCAACGATAAATAGCAAAGACTCTAATATGAGATTAATCTTCACCATGTCCATTTGTTTTAATGTTTAAAATAATCTATGGATATTAACTTAATAAGAATGAAAATTTTTAACTGACACAAAAAATAAAAAAAACTAAAATTTACTTTCCCACCCCCAAACTTATTTCACACTTTGTCCTCAAGGTGTGGAAACAAAAAGAAAACTAAAAAAAAATAAAAACACAACACAAAAACTGGGACACTAAAAAAAAATTGGACAAGACTATAAAAAGAAAAGAAAATGAAAGAAACTAGAAAACAAAATGTAAAGAAAGGAATGCAAAAGATCATGGCGTGACAAGGAACATAATAATAAAGAACATTAAAAAAAAAATAAATAAATAAATAAATAAATTAGACAAGAAAGCACCTTGGATTCCCGTGAGAATGGCATGCAGCTGGCGCAATTTTTTTTTTTTTAAATGTCAGTCATGCGCCCTCTTGATGGAGATATGACCAAAGCCATGTGCACCGCAGGCGTGCACCAAAAATTGAAAACTTTGGATTCCCTTTTTGAAAGGCATGCAGCTGGCATGCAATTTGAAAGGGATTCCTACAAATATTGGGTCCCGAGCCGAACGGCTCTTCTTTGCCTTTAATGCAAACCGAGTCCCGTGAACAGACATGGGAATACGCCAGCTTTGTACACGTGGCATGCATCACGGCAATGAGCTACTTAAGATTCCAAAGGAACGGTTAAGATCAACCTTACTTTTCTGAAAGCTTTGTAAACCCCAAGTCTCTCGCATTTCAATAGAGACTGAAAGAAGTCTTTCATTTCTCTCGGCCCCCATTTCATCTCTCTACTCTCTTTCTCTTTTCTCTCAGACCCGTTCCTCTCAAAAATGAAAAGAGGGGTCCGTCTCTCTCTCAATTTCCTCTCAGACCCCATCCATGGTGGAGCGACACAGGCATGTCTGATTCCTCTATAATAGTGCTCTGGTTCGCAACAATGATACCCAAACGGGCATATCTAAAATAGTTCGTCCAAAAATCCTCCCTCTGCAGGTAAAAACTAAGCCATGCCATTTCTCATTTTGTTCGTTCGAATGTAAAGATGTAGCTCCATTTCTGCTAACTTCATCACCAAGAGTAAAATGAAAATGTCTGTGACTGATGTATTTGATTGTTCTGTGTATGTCTCAGTTTCCTCGCAGATTGATGCATCCGTAGCCTTCCATAACCCAACAACAACACAACTTCGTGAGTACCCCGCCGTGGTGGAAAATCGGAAAAACGGAAACCCAAAGGTAAAATCATCCTCCAATCTTGTGGTTTCATTGTCCAATTTATTTGTTTGAAAGAACGGGAACAAACCCTAACACATGCATGTGGTTTTATCGGTGTGAGGACCCCTAATGGTTTCAAATCCGAGACAACAACACAAGAACACACCCTGAGTCGCCAGCTCAGCTCAACCAAGGATCTGCAAATGTTGAGGTAAAACCCGTAACCCTTTTGATGGATGGACGATGATCTGATATTTGAATAATAAAACCACTACTGGGACTGAAAAATGACACTCAAATCCAGCGTATAACCGAGAGAAAACAAGCTTAAGCTGCCGGTCTAATGGTCCCAGAACGCAAAATAAACGGCAAATGTCTCGGCCGCTGCAAATCATGAAGGTAAAGATCTTGTTCTTTTGCAGTCGATAAACTCAACATTTACATGTTCAACGATAGTTCCTTATAATGCCATAGTTAACCTGTATGTACTCATATTTTTGCTCTTTATGTAGGGGTATATGGATCCATGATAGAGCCAAGGAAATAGAAGTAAACACACAAGCTCAACCGATGAAAACAACACAGGCCGCATGACCCAAATCGGTGCATCTGGGAGGTAAAATTCGAATCCCTGCAAGTGTAGTTGTTGTAGAGCTGGTAAAACTAGCTGTACTCAGTTCTGTGGTGTATGGATCTGTGATTTAATTATGCTTCCTCCATGCATCGCAAAACTGAGCTGCAAAAAATTAACTGCTCTAAATTCTGTATCTGTGCTGGATCTGCAACAATCTCCCCCAAACTTGCATCTGTGAATGACTTTTTATGTTGATTGCTTTAAATTTCCAGCATAGTGTACATGTGGTTGATGTGAATGTTAGACTTGCTGCTGGGTGCAAGATTCCAGCATAGGACGCGCTTTATTTTCTACGTTCGCAACCTACAATTAATCCAATATGCGTTAAAAAAATGAAAATAAAATCAAATAAACTGGGTAAATAAAATCAACCTGCAATTTTCCATTTTTTTTATGAATTTTTCGTTTATTTTATTTTATTATTATTATTTTTTTTTATTATATATATATATATATATATATATATATATATATATACTTTCTTGTGTTTTTGTTAGTGAAAATCAAACGAAAATTAAAATGAGGAAAGAGTTAGAAAAATTAGGTTGCCTCCCAATTAGCGCTTTATTTTAAGTCTGTAGCTAGACGTTGCAGAAGTCCGGTGGCTAGCTCACTGGTGTCTTCAAAGTCAAAGACTCGTATGCAGTATCAAAGGGTGACTCTACGTATGGTTTCAGCCTGTGACCATTCACCTTGAATGTGTTGCCTTGAGCCTCATTAGATATTTCAATTGCCCCATGAGGAAAGATTTTAGTAACCAAATATGGCACAGTCCAGCGAGATTTCAATTTCCTTGGAAACAACTTTAGCCTTGAACTGAATAGCAACATCTTTTGCCCTGGCTGGAATTCTTTCCGTAAAATTTGACTATCATGAAACGCCTTAGTTCTTTCCTTGTAAATGCGAGAACTTTCATAAGCAGCTTGACGAATTTCCTCCAGCTCATTGAGCTGCAATTTACGTTGCTCCCCAGCTGAGTCATACCAAAAATTTAACTCTTTAATTGCCCAGTAAGCCTTATGTTCAAGCTCCATATGTAGATGACATGCTTTCCCATACACGAGTCGAAATGGTGACATCCCAATAGGAGTCTTGTAAGCTGTCCTGTAGGCCCACAATGCATCATTTAATTTTAAACTCCAATCTTTACGTGTTGAACCAACTGTTTTCTCCAAAATGCGTTTTAATTCTCTGTTTGAAACTTCCACTTGACCAGATGTCTGTGGATGATAAGGTGTAGCCACACGATGATTAATCCCATATTTTGCCAACAAATTAGCAAACGGTATATTAATAAAATGCTTCCCCCCATCACTAAGAATAACGCGTGGAATTCCAAAACGCGGAAATATAACCCCTTGGAGGAACTTCAGGACCACTGATCCTTGATTAGTTGGTGCTGCAATGGCCTCGACCCACTTAGAAACATATTCCACAGCAACTAAAATATAGTGGTTTCCATGAGATGATGGAAATGGTCCCATGAAATCAATACCCCAAACATCAAATAATTCAACAATTAAAATACTTTGCTGGGGCATCTCATTTCTTTTGGACTGGTTGCCGACTCTTTGACATGGATCGCAAGCTTTGCACCAATTATGTGCATCTTTAAAAAGTGTTGGCCAAAATAACCCACTCTGCAAAATTTTCTTTGCTGTTATTTTCTGGCCAAAATGTCCCCCGCAAGCAAACTGATGAGCAAACTTTAAAACATTTTCCTGTTCGGCTTCAGGAATACACCTGCGAATAATCTGGTCTGGGCAATACTTAAATAGGTATGGCTCATCCCAGAAATAATGCTTGACATCAGATAAAAACTTCTTTTTTTGTTGCAACATTAAATCTGGATGCACTACACCTTTAACCAAATAATTAACAATATCAGCAAACCATGGTTTACGGAATTGGACTGCAAATAGCTGTTCATCTGGAAAACTCTCCCTCAGTGGTAGGGAATCCCCTTTTGAAGCTGTGGGAATAATTAATCTAGATAAATGGTCAGCCACCACATTTTCACTACCCTTTTTATCTTTGATTTCTAAGTCAAACTCTTGCAATAAAAGAATCTAACGTATCAATCGAGGCTTAGCATCTTTTTTAGACAACAAATATTTCAAAGTTGCATGATCTGTATAAACAATCACTTTAGCCCCAACAAAATACGAACGAAATTTTTCCAATGCAAAAACAACTGCCAACAATTCCTTCTATGTGGTAGCATAGTTTAGTTGTGCATCATTGAGGGTTCGACTAGCATAATAAATAACTTGGGGAAGTTTGTCTTTCCGCTGTACAAGAACTGCTCCCACTGCATAATCTGATGGTCACACATCAATTCAAAAGGTAGGCTCCAATTAGGAGCTGCAATAATGGGTGCTGTAGTGAGGAGTGTCTTTAACTTCTTGAAGGCCTCCAAACAAGCCTCGTCAAAAACAAAAGGTGCATCCTTAGCCAATAAATTACACAATGGTCGGCTAATCTTGGAGAAATCCTTGATGAACCGTCTATAAAACCCGGCATGGCCAAGAAAAGATCGAACACTCTTAACAGTTGTTGGGGGTGGCAACTTCTCAATTGCATCAATTTTAGCCTTATCAACTTGAATACCCCTGTTAGAAATCAGGTGGCCTAGGACAATTCCCTGCTTAACCATGAAATGACACTTTTCCCAATTTAAAACCAGGTTGGTCTTGATGCATCTTTCAAGAACTAGAGATAAATTCTGCAAACATTGGTCAAAAGAATCTCCAAAAACAGAAAAGTCATCCATAAATACCTCAACTACATATTCAACTAACCCGGTAAATATGCTCATCATGCAACGCTGAAACGTGGCAGGCGCATTGCACAAACCAAAAGGCATTCTTCTATATGCAAAAGTCCCAAAAGGACAAGTAAAGGTTGTCTTTTCTTGATCCTCAAGGGCAACTAGAATCTGGTTGTACCCTGAATAGCCATCCAAGAAACAATAGAAAGCACGACCAGCCAATCTTTCCAACATTTGATCAATGAATGGCAATGGAAAATGATATTTTCTAGTACCAGCATTCATCTTTCTATAATCAACACACATACTCCACCCTATAGTCAAACGAGTAGGCACTAGTTCATTATTATCATTCTTCACAACTGTAATACCAGAACGCTTTGGCACCACTTGAGTTGTACTAATCCACTTACTATTTGAAATAGGATAGATCATCCCAGCATCTAAAAGCTTCATAACCTCATTACGAACAACTTCTTTCATAATTGGATTCAAACGACATTGAGCGTCAATGGCAGGTTTTACCCCATCCTCCATCAAAATTTTGTGCATACAAATTGTAAGGCTGATCCCTTTAATGTCATCTATAGTCCAGCCAATTGCATCTTGATGACTTCTTAAAATGCACAACAATTTATCTTCTTCTGTTGATCATAAATCAGCAGCTATAATAACTGGCAACGAAGAATCCGCACCCAAATAAGCATATTTCAAGTGTTCTGGAAGCACCTTTAACTCCAGTTTAGGTGGCTGTACCTTAGAAGGCTGCAACAGCTTTTTGGGTTCCCCCAAACTCTAAAAAACATGCCTCCAACGTGGGGGTTGAAAAGGAACACTTTCCAAAGCTGAAACATTCTCAAAAACCTCTTCATCTTCTGTATTTTTATTCTCAAACCCATTACACACATTTAACAATGGATCAGATGTCAAACGTGGCATAATTTTAGCATGTAATAATCTATCAAGCACATCAACACGCATACAATCATGCACATCACCTGGCCTTTTAGTAGCTTCAAATAAACTGAACACAACAGATTGATCTTGTACTCTTAAGTGTAAGGGTTCCAGCCTCTACATCAATTAACGTTCTAGCTGTTGCCATGAAGGGACGTCCCAAAATAATCGATGTTTGCATATCTTCATCCATATCCAAAATTACAAAATCTGCAGGAAGGTAGAGATAATCCACTTTAATAATTAGGTCTTCAATAATACCCCTTGGATAAGCAACTGAACGGTCCGCTAGTTGTAGAATAATTGATGTAGGCTTGATTTCCCTTTGTCCCAGTCTCTGAAAAACAGAAAAATGCATTAAATTAATACTAGCACCTAAATCAATTAAAGCACGTTTAAAATGAGAATTTCCAATTGTGCATGAAATCGTAAAACTCCCTGGATCTTGTTTCTTCGGGGGTAACTTGTGAAGCAGAACAGCGCTGCACTGTTCTGTAAGAATCACTTTCTCAAAATCAACGAGCTTCTTTTTCTTTGTGCGAACATCCTTCAAAAACTTGGCATAAGACGAAATGTTCTTGATGGCATCAATTAACGACAGATTAATCTGAACCTTAGACAAAGTCTTCATAAAATCTGTCAATTGTTGATCTTTAACTTTAGGCTTCAACCGTTCGGGATAAGGCATAGGTGGCTCATAAACACGATCCATAACAATATTTTCACCATTTTCGGAACTGTTCAATGACTGTTCAGAATTTTTCAAATTGGCAGATTTTTCAATAGTTCCTGAATCTGTTTTTGGCTGCGAAGCCACCTGCGAATTTTGAATGCAATTTTCATCCCTGTTATCAAAACTTTTGACGGAACGTAGAACTCTAACTGCCTTGCAATCTGCACCTCCCCTGGGATTTGGTTCGATTTGGCTGGGAAATGTACCTGGTGCCCTTCCAGAACCCTGCAAAGCAATCTGCCCCATCTGTTTTTCCATGTTTTTCACTGTTGCCTGTAGATTTTGAATTTCTTGAGTGGTAGTATTTGCCAATTTTTGAATTGCAACCTCCCAAGCAGCCTTAGGTGTAGCAGGTTGTTGTACCTGCTGTTGGAATTGAGCCCTAGTGTGTTGTTCCTTGTCCCACCTTAGATTAAGATGATCTCTCCAACCTGGGTTGTAGAAATTAGAATACGGGTCATATCGGGGCCGCCGGAAATTGTTAAATGCATTAACTTGCTCTGCTGTAAATCTGAAGAAACATCTTTATGCGGACATTTTCTAATCAACTCTTTGAACCGCTCTCACGCCTCATGAAACTCTTCATTTGGTTTTTGGGCAAATGATAAAATCTGAGTTCTCATGTCAAGAGTCTTAGAAGCCATCTCCTTGCTTGATCTTTATGCGGATAATACTTGCTTAAAAATTTTTCATTGAGTTGGGCTCAAGTACTAATGCTTCCAGATGGGAGTGTGAAGAGCCATCTCCTTGCTTGATCTTTCAGAGTGTAATTAAATAAACGGAGCTTAATAGATTCGGCTGAAAATCCTCTCACCAAAATATTTTTGCACCCCATTAAAAATTCTTTAATGTGCATGTTAGGATCATCAGATGATAACCCATGAAACGTAGGTAGAATATTCAACATGTGCTGTTTTATTTCAAATGCAATCCCTTCCTCCACTCCCGGATAAGTAATGCAACTTGATATATTTGTGGTATGGGCAGTCAGTGAATCACCCAGGGGCAGGCCTGCCTCTAGAATTACAAATGCCATTTTATCCTTGTTGTGCAGGTCCCAGAATTTAAAGATTATAGAAAAATTCCCTGCAAAGGAGGAACTCTCTGCAAAGTTCGCTCCCTGCGTTTCCTCCTTAAATTCTGCTCAAGTTCTGGATCAAATGGAATCAATTTCTGAACTGTTGAACGGGTGCTGACCATGCATAGATTTATGAAATATGCACTGTTGTACTATTGTAATCTGTAAAAATAAAATAAAAACGAAAATTAAATTAATTTTTTTTATATGTATAAACAGCAATAACTAATTGAAAGATTATTTTAAATAATCCCCGGCAACGGTGTCATTTTCTTGATATGATTTTTACTATTCATGTGAACGAGATAAAAACACCTATTATACTTGCAAGAATCACAAAGTTGTTGTAGTATAAATGGATCTCGCAAGGTCATTCTCTACAGGGATTATTAAATAATTCGAAACTAACCAAACTTTAATTAATTATTGTAAAATAGAAATTGAGGTGATTGATTTTATATCCTAATTAAAATAAAAACGAAATTAATGAATTAAAGTAAACAATCTGCAATATTAGAACTAGAGAGAAATGAACAATTTTGAGAGAATCAAATTAAGAAAATACTAGGGTTCCACCATCACCTAGTAATCCTATGAACTTTTACCAATTACTTATGATCTACACATGCCACTTTGAAGGTTAGATTTTCCTAATTCATATTCTACTTGGAACCTCTAACATAGAATGTATATCTAACATGCAACTCGTCCGAACGTTCGGATCAAATCTAAACATGAAATACTCATTATGCTTTATGAAAATCCCTTGAAAAACCATGCAATCCTTAAGACGTAATATTCATCCTAAGTGAAATTACAATTATTAATCACAAGAAGCCAGCGTCAATTTCAGGGAACCTTCCGACCAAAATTGCATCAAATTACTTTTCTAAAAATCCTAATGGTGATAAGGCATTAAAATAATTAGATAGTTTTTATCCCGGTGATTAACAATTCAAAGTACGCATGCAATCAATCATAAGAAATTAAATAAAAATCACATATTCATGCTAAGGCTTAAGGTTTCGCCCTAGTAAAAGAAATTAGTTCCGCATATTCATAATTGAAATCATAGAAAATATCTTCAAGAAAAGGATTGAAAGCACCTTCAAGTAAAAAGTCTCCAAAACCCTAACAATTCTCTCTGTCTCCAAAATTGCATAAAGAAAAGCGTCCCTAAAACTGTAGATGGCTAAGCAATATATTTGCCAAGCGACCCCCAAACCCTAGGAAACATAACCCTAAATTAAATGATAAAATTCGTCTAAAATCTGAACAGCCACGTTTTGACCCATAAGCTGCTCCAAAACTGGCCCAATATAGCTGGATTTAATGTTTGGAATATTCTGAACACTTTTTCAGGAGGCCACGAACCCATCCGATGTCATCTTGGGCTCCAAAAACGCAATTTAAGCCCAAAAACGTCATTTTCCAGCACTGCGCACTGCTTCTTTATTTCATCGTCAGAAAATAACCACTTGGTGGAAAAATCCCAATTTTTGATGTGATCAAGCTAAATGACTCACGAACGTCCTCCAACTGGAATTACTCCAAAATTCGTCCATTTGATCCTGTTTTGCTCCAGAGGAAGTCGAAAGTCCTATATTGAAAATACAATTCAAAGTATCAAAATTCTTCCAATATATTAACCAAAATATACTAAGATTAGGGTAAAATACATAATATAAAATCTACTCATCATTATCTGTTGCTAAGTTACCTCATAAGTTTTGGTCTTATGCCTTAGCACATGCTGCTTTTCTGATTAATAGAATGTCTTGCAAGACTCTTCACATGGACTCCCCATTTGGAAAATTGTTTGGCAAGCAACCTGATCTAGTGAATTTGAAGATCTTTGGCTCTGCAATCTATCCTTACCTCAGACCATATAATACTAATAAATTGCAATCCAGATCCACTCAGTGTGTTTTCTTGGGATATCCACAAGGTTATAAAGGTGCTATCTGTTATAATTTGTCAACTGGGAAAGTTCTCATTTCTCGTCATGTTTATCATGATGAGACTGTGTTTCCTTACAAGAATGGTATTAATATAGCTGGTGGGACTACAACTTCTTCTGGTTCACATAGTCATGTGACACCTATTCTTGTTCAGCTATCAGTCCCAATGGCACATGGTGTTAATGCTAATGATCATCAAGATTTCCATAATAATTCAGCTTCACAACCCCTCAGCTCTACATCACGGCATCTCAGTTCTATTTCTTCTGGTTCTTCAGGATCTTTGGAAAATGCACAGGACTCTGCTTTACCTGCTACTCTTTCCAGCCCTACTTCTCTGTTGCCTGTCCTTCAATCACAACAGTTACAAGTGGAGTTACCTACCACAGAGAATGTGTCTGTATCACAAGGTATTCAAACCCGATTGAAAACAGGTGCAATTACCAGAAAGGACTACTCCGCTTTGACTGCTATATTTCCAGAAGTGGCATCCTTAACTCCTGCAGATGATGCTCATTTTTCAGGGGGTTTCACATTTATTGCTGATATTTTGGATGCTTCTGAACCATCAAATTTCAAACAAGCCTCTTCTATTCCTCAGTGGCAATCAGCAATGCAAGAAGAGTTTGATGCTCTTCAATCTCAAGGCACATGGACTCTTGTTCCTAATTCTTGTGATATGAATGTGATTGGCAGCAAGTAGGTGTATAAAATTAAAAGAAACAGTGATGGTTCTATATCACGATATAAAGCTCGGCTGGTGGCTCAAGGGTTTAACCAAGAAAATGGGTTGGATTATACAGAAACATTCAGTCCAGTTGTTCGACATACTACAGTGCGTTTAGTTTTAGCATTGGTTGCAACACATCATTGGGACCTTAGACAACTCGATGTGAAGAATGCATTTCTTCATGGAGAATTGCAGGAAGAAGTCTATATGAAGCAACCTCAAGGCTTTGTTCACCCTCAATTTCCTACACATGTTTGCAAATTGGTTAAGTCTCTTTATGGCTTAAAACAAGCTCCACGAGCCTGGAATGATAAATTTACTAGTTATCTGCAGGCCATTGGTTTTGACGCCTCTCTGTCAGATTCTAGTTTATTTGTTCGAAATGATGGAATTGATGTTGTCATTCAACTCCTCTACGTCGATGACATTATCATTACAAGTTCTTGATCACTCATATATTTCATGCATTTATACCATCCATTTCTAAAGTCTTTGTGATGTTTTTGTGTTAAAATTATGGCATTTTACTTTACTTTGTAATAATGTGCAGTTAATCAATTTCAAGCAAAAAGGTAGGAGCAGCGACAAGATATTGATCAAGATGTGGTTAGTCCTCCTACTGCAAAAACAGAAGGATAGAAAGAAAAGAAATACAAAATTAAAAGACAGGAGAGAGTGGGCAGATTGATAGCGGGAAAGGAGAAAGCACAGTAGAAAATAAAAGGAAGAAAGGAGTGGGAGAGACACGGAGAAAGGAAAGCAGTGGATGACAGATTGGCATAAAGAAAAACAGAAAAAACGAATAGGCAGTGGGAGAGAGAGACACGGACTGAGAACCAGGCGCAGCGAACCAGGCGCAGAGGAAGTCAGGAGCAGGAGAAGGCAGTGCACACGGAAAATTTCACATAGACTTGCGACGGGAGAAAAGAAACGGGTGTCTTCTTTCTTAGTTATTTATTTTCTGTTATGAATAATTTCTTATGTATCAAATTAATTATGTGTAACTAATTTATTATGCTAGAGTGAGGCCATGAGCCGCAACATGAATACATAGATTTATATTTCAATTGCTTAAGTGTTGTTACATGCTTGCTTTGATATTTTCAATCTCTAAATTAAACTATCTATGTGTCTTGATGATTGATCACCATTAGGATGCTTAAAAAAGTTATCGGATGCAATTTTGAACGAATGTCACGTTAAAATTGGTTGTGCTTCTTGTGATTGAGAATTATACTCTCCTAAGGTAAATATCATGCTCTTAGGGATTATATGGTTTAACAAAAGGATTTTCACCAAGATTAATGAATCACTCATGTTTATATTTAATCCAAATGTCATGGATAAGTTGCATGTAGTGGTATGCGTTTTAGCTTGAATGTCACAAGTAAAACATACACAAGGAAAATCCAACCTTTAAAGCATGTGTGTTTTCAATTATTTAAGCAATTGGAATAGCTACGTAGGAGTATTGTTGGTAAAGGTTGAACTCTAGCATATTGTCAATCTATTTTTCTTCAATCATTTATTTTATCTTAAATTTCCTTATTTACTTGTTTTGTTTAAGTTGAATCATTATCCTTATAAACCAATTCCCATTTTAGATATTTGTTTAAGTCACATCTAGTAATATTTAGTTTCGTCAAATTAGTGTAATTCTTAGAGTTAAATAAGTTAAATACACAAAAACTCGTAAATTGTTTATATCAGTCCCTGAGGAGATCGACCTTGCTTGAGCCATTCTATACTACAAACACTTGTTCTCTTGCAAGAATTTTCTATGGTTTAACCCTTTGTTTTACAAGTGGTAAATCGCTATCAAGAAATTGGCGCCGTTGCCGGGGACTGTGCCAACAGTTCCCAAGCTTTTGTGTTTATTTTTCTTATGCTTATGTTTATGTCTTATTTTTATTAATCATTAAAAAAAAAGTTACAGAATCCTCTTTGATTAAGCCCATTAATGGTGAATTTAACTTTGGTACCGTAATAATGCTGTATATTTGCGTTAGAAATCTGTTTATGTATCCCCTTCACAAATTTCTGTTCTCACGTATTATTAAATTAATTAAAAAAAACAGCAATTAATTTAGTTGAGTTTTGATCTTTGATTAAGTGTAGTGGATGTGTGGTGTGAGATTGTTGTCTTCGTTTAATTAACTAGTGGTTGCCAATTTGCATAAATTGTGTTTTTTTTAATTCATCTAGGTTTACTTACTTTCTTTTCTTTTTTGTTGTTTAATTAGTTTCTGTTAAGTTTTATTTTATTTTACTTTTATTTTTATTTTTATTTTTTATTTTTTATTTTTGGCTTAATATTTCTGTTGTTTGTTCAGGTGTAGTATATGGTGTTTGGAACAAGATCCAAGAATCAAGTGCTTATTCCTTACGACCCTGAACCAGAGAGAAGTGCAAGGAAGATAGCTAGAGAAAAATATTTAGCACAAGATTCCAAACTTGGTGATATTTTTCTTAAGGATTTGTTCCGTGATCCTACGAGCAGCAAATCTATTTTCCAACCTTTGACACCAGTTGCACACATGGC